CCCCTCCAGCCAGCTCTGGATCTCGAGAGCATTTCCACAAAGTTCGGTTCAGTCTTCAAAAGGTGGCGTGACGGCATGAGCCATGCCAACCTTGTCTGCAGCGTCCCTCAGTCCAGCTCCAAATCTCCCACATCCACCTCTGACAGCAGTGGCAGGACTCTTAGTCCCAAATGGAAGAGGGCTCACAAGCTTTTGATCAGAGGTAAGCAGTGGGGGTGCCTGAATTGCACACTTTGGGGGAACGCTCTGGAGATCAGGCCAGCATGAGGGTTTGCTTCTTCTAGAGCACAGACAGCTTAGATCAGGCTCAGACCCTGCTATTAAATAATAAGCTCATACCCCTGATGAAGAGGCAGCTCATTGAGAGAAGTCCTGGACCTTTCCCACTCTCCTGGCATGAGCACGAGGACGTGACGACGGGATGGAGACGGCGTCGTGCAGCAAGAATACTGTTCAAGAGGAGCAGTGTGGCGCAGCACGCAGCAGTGGTGCAGGCAGACATTCTGGCTCAGACCCAGGGGGCAGACTCGTTTTTCAAATGTCCACTCCACTCCTAGGAGGCAGTTCTGGGTGAACAAGACGCCCGACAGTGGCACTCTAACAAGACCAGTTGGCAGAAGCTCCGTGGCTGCCGAGTGAGTACAACAGGCAAAGTCAAGGTCTAGAAGTGATAGAAGGGGCCCTGGCAGCACAGTACCGGAAGCTCTGCTCACGAGCTGCTCGAGACGAGGCCACGTGCTTCCATGCCCATGCCGAGGACAGACTTGAAACCCTATGGAGCAACCTGGCTCCATCCTACATGGAGGCTGAGTCAGCACCGGCGGCGGCGGCAGGAGGTCTATCAACGATGTGCATAGCTATCAAAGTTAGTTCAAGTATGCGGGAACTTCAAAAAGCTGGTGTAACAAGGGAATGAAAAGATAATGGAAATTTTCCAGGAATGAAGCCCTGCTCGGTCTCGGGAAGGGAATCAGAGAGATATCCTGCTTATTGGAAAACTGACAGGGATACCAGCCGTTAGTACACACCAGACAAGAGTAAAGTCAATGTAGGAAGCGGGAGTTGATCACTAGTTATCTCTTTTCTCCACATTGTTTTCAGTCTGAAACCCCAGTGAAGCCACCCCAGAATGCCAGCCCTGGGGTCAGAGCCAGTCTAGTCCCCTGCAACCCATTTGTGAGACCAAATGACACAAAGGGTCACCTGTGTTCACACCCGATCACTCTCACGTTGCCAGCTCCTCCAATCAATGCTTTACAAAGGGTCTCCTTGACAAACGGAAATGGTTCACGCCCCTGATTAGCAAATGGCACACCAACGCTGCTACTCACTCCCCGACTTCCTTCCGGGACAAGCACTGAGCAGCAGCCAGACATGCTGCCAGCAGCCACCCTAGCAGCGGGCCTTCATGTCGGTACCTGGAGAATAAATTTCAGCATCTGCCAGAAAGTTCAATGGGAAATTCTAACTCCTAAACACAAGGAACAGATGCTTCCAACCAAACCTCACGGCTGGCTCCCAGACCCCACATTCTCACCCCAAAGAGTGCAGGCAGGTGAGAGAGCAACGGGCGCCTCTGAGACGCCTCAGGGCAAGCCCTGCACGAGAGTATGGCGGGAACAAGGGGGAGGAGGGCCACCACACTGCTGAAGGCCAAGTCAGACACGACTCCCCGACGAAGCTAAGTCTAGCTCTGGAAATGCACCAAAACCAGCCTCGAAACCCTGCTCTACAAAGACATCCCTACGCACAAGAGAGAAAAACAAAAACCAAGTATTAGTTTTCCCGATTTTTTTTTTTTTAATACAGTTGCCGTCTTACATGATATACTAGTAGGTGCCTTCTGAAGAGCATCTTACCTACCCTCTCCTGGCGCCATGGCACCTGGGTTAGAACGTGTCAACCACTCTACTTCACAGAGTCCCACCCTTCCATACAGCCCCCTTGCTCAGATGGTCAGCCATCATTACTTTTCTAAAAATGGTTAACGCACACATCCAAACCACATGAACACTTCAACGTAGAGTTCACACCAAGTCTTTCCTATAATACTATTGCCCCGGATTGCCTTTTTGAAATCCACGAGGTGGGAAGAATGTCTTTTTATTTTGTTGTTGAAGCTTCTCTCGCTTTCCCCTTCTGCCCCCAGTGAGAGGTTAAAGAAACAGGCTATAAAGGACACCCACGTCCTGTACACGAGTACCAACACCACCTGTGGTCATGAAACCTCAACAGTGAAAATCCCAGAAAAGCACGTGCCGGGGGTGGGGTGGAGCTTGCTTATTTAAGCAACTGGCGATCCTCGAAGCTTTTCAGGCGTTTCTTCCGTGGCTGTACAAAGTCATCGTCCGAGTCATCACTAAATTTGTTATCTTCTGGTTCGTTCCTGAATTCTACCTTAGGAAACCTTTTCTCGGGATAAAGGTTCTTTAGAAGTTCTTCAAAATAGCTTTCAAGTTTTATTCCAGCATTGGCAACTTCTGAATCAGGCTGTTGGATGAGACAGAACATACGAATTAAAAACAATAAAACCACTAACCATGAAGTTAAGAAAAAAAGTGCAGTCCACAAGGAATGATTCATTTGATCTCGCTCATGGTATGCGTTCAACTGGTGAGGCTATGAATGTGAGCACATGGTCTGGGGAACTTCCTTGTCACCGACGACAGAAAAGGACAAACAGCCTGGAGCTGGAGGGCCCACAGCTCTGAGCATTACTTGACGGGAGGAAGGCAGGACCCCGACCAGGAGAGCTCAGAGAGACGGCCCAGGCAGAACCGTGGACACACAGAACGACAGGATGATGGTCTGGGTTGGGGTTTAGATAAACCGACAGATGACTGACTCTTAAATTTAGCAGCATCATATTCCCAGATAGACACAGGGAAGCAGGATGGCTGCTGGGAAGCAGGGAGCTGGGGTGGGGACAGTACTTTCTACACGTCTCTAACCCGAGGGGAAAGACAGTGTGATCTGACTGCCCTCGGAGAGATGCGGGCTCTGGATGCTGCTGCTGGGCTTTGTGTTAGCCCCTCTCCTCTCACCTCATTGAATTCAGCACAGTTTTGAAAGATCAACCGAAAGTCGGCGACAAAGTCATCTGGCTTCGTGTACAAGGAGCAATCCTCTTGGAGCCTTTTCTTGATGGTTGACAAGTCCATTGGGCTTTTAATTATTTTGTAATAATCGGGCACCTTTCAAAATAAACAAGATGCTATCATACACACAATTAATTCTACCCTCAGGGTATACAGTTCACACTGTCCCCCCACTGCTTATCTCTGAATGATCTTGTCCTTGGTAAAGGAATCTACCTGGCAGCATTTCTAAATTACTCAGTTTCCCACACCTCGACAAATGCTTTGTCACTTCTTAAAAAATTTTTTAAACAATGAATTTTGATGAACAACGTGCCTTCCATGTCCTCTCCTGACCTTTCCTTGTTCTCCCTCCTCATCACTAAGCAAAAAGCTCTGGGCAAGTGGGTGGGGGGACCAGGGGCTTGCCCTGAGTGGGGATCCACAGATAGCATGATCGCAGGAGGGCTCCTGAACCTCACTGAATCCCAGCTCCTCTTAATTCTGAACTGGATGATCTCCACCAATGTAGGAGGTCGTAATGAGAGGAAATCATGAAGGAGAGCTGCTCTGTGGGCATGGTACCTCCAGACTGGGGCCAGTTTCCAGATGGGCAATGTCAACACTGGCCTGACCAGCCTCTTCCCTTGGCCGGTTTTCTTGTCTTCTTTGGGATAAGAAGCCGTCTCCTACTGGAAGTACTTTTCCCCACCCCAACTGCTCAAAGCCGGTGATCAGCTGAATGTATTTAAAATCGAGTTTTCTTTTCTAACCTGGAACTAAGTTTCAGATTCCCCACGCGGTAGACTGTGTGTGGTAACTGTCGGGCGAGTACTGGAGCGCTGCAGTAGTTGGGCAGCAGGCCCTTCCCTGCACTCTGTGCATCAGGCTCCTGGGCGGGCGCACTTCCTGCTACTACCAACCACAGCTGCCTTGGCTTCTCTCTGGGCCGAACACACTCCCATTTGATGAACTCTGGGCCTTCGTCTCAGGTGAAAAGTTTCCCCACAGTTTAGGAGGTGCTTAAACCTCCCAAGAAAAGAAATAATTGATGGACATTGATGGATAAAACTGAAGCAGGCTGAGAATTTTTAATTTTAATTATTTGAGAATTAGGCTTAATTTACTTTCATTAAGATGAACCAATTTAGGATTGAACATCCAGTAATGGGGGTTTCAAAAGATTCAGGGCAATGGAACTAAAGATAATGAAAATGTCCCATAATCTTGTGGGAAGTTTTAAGGTTTGAAGCCAACAGTTAACCAACTATAGGAAAATGGCATAGAAACTAGGTTCTCCTAAACCAAATCTCAACAGGTCACCCCAAAGTAGAAAGCATAAGGTAAGGTTAGACTTACAGTTAGAGGCACTGGGTCCTGAAAAGCCAGACTCATTTCATGGCAGTAAAGAAATAAAAGTAGCCGCTCACACTTCTAAGCAAAAATAAACAAATAAACAAAAATTAAAATAAGTGCAAAAAAAAGGGGGGGGGGGGGCAAACTGCCGCCTCAGCTTATTGTTCAGGGGAACCAGAACGGACACTGAGACCAGGAGAGGACACTTGTTCGCCTGGGTGGGCTCTCAGGGAACCTGAGCAAACACTTGAGATGGGGAGTGCAGCCTGTACACACCATCAGGAAGAAATTTATCTCAAGTTCCAAAGTGGATTTCCATTTCTCCCACAAGGGTGCACACCAGCTTGTCCAGGGCTGGGGGTGGCGGGTGCTGAGGGGCCAGGAGCCGGAGGGCCCTCACCCAAGCTATGGGTACTGGGCAGCCCCGCTGCAAGCAGGTATGTGCTGACTGGTCTACTTAATCATCTGCCCCAGTCTGTGGCTGACAGAGAGGTGGGAATCAGTGGCTTCCATGCTTGCCTCAGGGACTACCTCACCTGGCTTCAGGGTCTACACCTAGTCGCTGCTGGTAAGGGAAACTACCCAGGAAACCCCCACCCATATCCTTGTTGCCAGCAGTCCACACGATTTGAGGAAGAAATTTACTTGAGTAAAAAGACAACGGATTCATGTGGCCCAGGCCACAGAGAGGATATTCATTCCACTTTGTTCAGGAACCACAACTGAAGCTTTTGTAACAATATGTACGGTATTTTTTTAAAGTAAAAAGTTATAGTCAACCTGCCTTTATTAAACAGATTATGTGTGCCAGGTGTGAGACAGGGACCCCTGGGTGCACAGTGGCCATGCTGGCCACCTGGGCACTTACCCGCTTGTCTGTGGGAGGCAGTCGGCCAAACAGGTCGCTTTTCCTTTTGTCCGAGTGGGGACTGGGAGAGTCACAGTCGTAGTCAACCTCCGGCTTTGACAAGTCTCTGCAGAAAGTGCAGATCCACTCTCCACTGCGGGGACAGAGGCCAGAGTTCCAGGCAGCACTCCTTGTCCCCACCCCCTTCCCCCCACACGGCGGGATTGGGCGTGGATGTTAATCTCATCACTGCTGTGAGAACGGGGAGAGTCAGTCCCATGCAAAGAGTAGAGCAGAGACTGCTCCAGTCCAAGGACGGAGAGGTGAAGGGCATATATGAAATGAACACCTACAGCCCATAACCAAAGTGCCAGGGCCATGGTGACTGGTGGGTGGCGGCATGGCCACACACTCCAGGCAATTATGGAAAATAGAGGCTTTTAAAATGAGCCAAAGACCCCAGGAATTGAAAGCTGGATGCAGTGGCTCTGCTGCCATCCCACCCCACTGGGGTCCTTGGAGGGTCCGAGCTGCAAGATTCAGCTCTGGGCATGGCGAGTGTCAGGCAGCAGGTGTGGGGACACTGTTCTTTGTGGGAGGGAGTCAGAGGGTCGGGTTGCTGGAGAGAAGTGGGGAGAGCAGGAGGGAGGGCTCCTAACTGGGCATCTTACCTGGGGAAATTGGCCAGGGTGGGCACGTGGCAGGAGAGGTGGAACACCTTGGGACACTTCTCACAGCACAGGAGCTCCCCTCCGTTCTGACACACTGCGCACCAGTCCTCATTGGGGTCGTCCTCTTTCCTTGGGTCTCCATGGAGTGGGGACTTCTGGGCCGTGTCCAGCCACTTGGCCTTCCCATTGGAGGGGTTCTCCTGGTGGGGGCCAGGCTGGTCTCCTGTGCTGTCTGGCGCGTCGGACCTTGGTGCGCCCTCCTCAGAAGCTGAGCCCTGGCTGCTATTGAGGAGCAGTGAGGTGAGGATGCTCCTGGGGTAGGTGGTCTGCCACAGAGGAGAACAGGTTGGTTACCGCCCTGCTAGTGCCATGCAACTCAGGGCTGCAGGCTGCTCTCTCCCGGACACCAGGTCACTTTGAGGGAGCCTGTCAGTATGCACGGGAGCAGACGTGTAGGATCCTGGCCGCATTAAGAGTCCCAAATGGTGCGCCAGAGGAGAAACTACTGAAGACACCACAGCAGAAGACCACGAGAGGGCAATCAGTCTGCTGATGGCCACGGACACCACACAATGGTTGCTGCCCTGGAATGGCAGGCAGAAATGCCAGGACAGCTATCAGCAGCCCAGACTATCAGGATGAGGCCCAAACGGACTGACAGAGAACTCAGGTTAGCTACTGCTCCTACTGTTTTGCGGATCCCGGTGCTGTATGGAGACACAGGCCACTAGCCTATCTGATCCTGACAGGAGGTATGTTTTTTCCCTGAGAGTGTTCAGACTCTCCTTCCCCTGGAGTCCTGGAATTTATGGTGACTCTCCATTCAGCTGTGGTTCTGGCCTCTCTAGCAAATCTGCTCAGCCAGGGGACATTTTCTCCTATCTTTTCCACTTATCTTACTATTTATTCTTTTTTTTTTTTTTTACTATTTATTCTTTTTCAAACAACTAAAAAGTCCATGTTTTCCTTACACTAGGTTTATAATACACATCATTTCAATGCATTTTGATTCCCTCAGTGAAAATTACAGAAATCATTTACATTTACCTCCTACCATTTCGGCTTTTATCCATTTAATGGGACAAATATACGCAAATCTCCAAGCCCAAGGCTTTCTTCTAAGCCTTCTAATCTCAAAATTCTACGCATAAACTGGATGAGAGAACGTAAATTGAGTATTAATCTCAGTAAACCAGCTTCATTCATGAAAGCATTACTTCAGTGATAAATATAAGCAACCAAAAAGTTCTTAGAAAGTCAACATCGACTGTAGAGACAGACAGTGCAGCAGAGATCCATCATACTGACGGACCCAAGCAACCCTTACGATATATCAAACCCAGTCTCTCAAATGTTATATATTAATTATAATTATGCAAATACATAGTTTCACTTTTAAGTACATAATTATGACATTTTAAAATAAATTATTGATTTTTAAAAAAGAAAATGTGCAGTTTTGTTCCCATGCCATTGTGACATGTGCTGTCGAGGTGAGTTTGTAAGAACTGTCTGTAAACCTAGTGTTACTCTCTCAGGCCTGTTCTCATCACTGTAACCTCTGCTGAGCAATTTCCTCAACTGTTCTTTCAACTACTAGAGTGACTTGGAAGCCCCGGCCTCCCTAGCCCCGTGGGAGCAGCATTGGCATCAGTGCAGTCAAGATTTACATTTTGAGGCCTGGACTCCTCGTCGGACTCTTGTTTCACTATCACCACAGGAAAGTCGTAGTTCTCGGGGGGGCCACTGTTTTCTTGTTTGATTCGGATCGGCTCCAGCATGACCACAGGGACTTTGTGTGTGGAGTCAGCTCCTGTTGGTTTGCTAGAAGAGCCAGAGCTGGACAGATGGGGGTAGGAGAGAGGGGGGAAGGGAGAGAGAGAACTGAACACGTGGCACAAAGTGCAGCGACCATGTCCTGACCAAGGACGGGGAAGCTTCACAGCAGTGCCAAGAGCAACTGTGAGTCACAGAGGAGGACTGACTGCGAGGCAAGTGCCAGACCAAGATTGCACCACTCACGAGGTACACGACAGCTGACAGAGCCACCTATCCACGTGGTGACATCATACACCTGGAAGCATATTTAAATACAACCCCAGTTGCCATAGAACCGACTCCTGACAGTGTGGGGGCTACAAACGTGACAGTCGACTGAGGACATCAGCACTAGCCCCGTCCATGGGCTCTGCCATGTCACTTGCTTGTAAAGACACACACTCTGGGCTCACAATAGCCTGCTGTCACAATTCCATGTGAAGCTGTCACTTATGGGTCGTGGGTATTTACAGAGGGCCACTGTATCTCCCAGGAGTAAATGGCAATCTCCACCTCCCAATGCTCCTTCTGCCCCACTAAGAACTGGGCTCACAGATCTTGTCATGTATAACGAAAGGGTGGGAGCCAAGGCAGTAACTAAAAGAAGAATTTCAACCATGGAATGTTTTCTTTCCTTTTGTTGACCAGCCAATGTTGGACCACTAGCAAAGCCGGAGATGATGAAATGAGTTTAAACTAATCACTGCTTCGGGTCCTGCTGTGTGGCTGTGACTGTGCGTCTATCCCCTGCAGCACATTATACCTGCCCAGTTTGCTTCCGATGCCTCTTCCAAAGACCCCGTTTTTTAGGATGAATGTCTAACTTTAAGGGTAAATTCGCACTTTATTTATCCAGCTCCCGAACTAATTTATTAAATCGAACACATTAAAAACAAAGGGAATTATATAAGATGCACCAAGTACCAAACCCAGTGGCCCAACAGGAACAGTTTCGTCAGTTACCTTCCTCGGCTCCCGACACTGGAGGCACTAGGTGAGCGTATTGGGGGGTGGACACTCGTCATGGTGACAGGCCCTGTGGTGATGAAGCCACACAGAGACATCCAATGGATTAACAGGCACACACTGAGTCTCTACAGAATATGCTCACTTAGCATAGCATTCAAACACCACCTTGGCCTTATCACTCTTATCACATCGCTCACTGCTACCATTCTTGGAGGTCACTGGCATCTCTCCACCAACCCTTCTTCCCAACACTGTGGCCCCGCCCTGCGCTAGAGAGGTTAAGAAATGATCCCAGTGAGGACCTCTGCACCCATGGATGCTGCAGAGAAAAATTAAAACGGAGGGACTGAGGAGAAGCAGCTCAAGCCGCAAAGTGGGACCAATCAATGGAAGGATGTGGAAAGCCGGGCAGACCCTGACTCAGATTAATGAAGGAAAGCTGGCCCCTGGCCACTGCCTGGAAACCAGGCTCACAACTGGAGCTCCGGCAGAATGCAGGCCAGGAGGGGAGCAGGCATCCAGCAGTTGGGGGAGAACCAATGCTGCTATACAGACCTCGCTTCAAATTAAGGTGACAAGATTCCTAAAAGGTGATGGCAGGAATACAATGGACACGAGAAATAGAGATGTCAAAATGTTATGGATTGAATTATGTCTTCCAAAATGTTGACTCCTAACTTCCACGCCCATAGCGGAAGAAACCTTGGTGGCACAGTGGGTTAATCATCGGCTGCAAATGATGAGATGGCAGTGTAAGCTGCTCAGGAGAGAAAGATGAGGCTGTCTTTCCCCTAACAGCCTGAGAAACCGTAAGGAGAGCCAACAAGTCAGAATCAATACCGAGGCAGCAGGAGTGTGAGTGGTCAGAATCCCAAACTGGTTAGGTTAACAAGGCAGTATCATACAGGGTGAACTTTAGATAGCTATCTTTTGAGATATTGCAGGGATTAAATAAGCAACTCAGTGAGCAGAGATGGAGAAAGAAAGGGCAAGCTTGGAGGCAGCCCAGAGCAAAAACTCAAGAGGCAAGAAAGTCCGGAGATAGATAGATAGATAAAACACCTTCCCTCTGAGCCAAGGATTGGTGTGACAGTTGTTGGATGATCTTCAGCAAAATCTTAATTGGATGTGTAACCAGTGATATTGTCCTACAGTTTGAGCATTCTGTGGGATCACCTCTCTTTGGAATGGGCACAAACAAAGATCTCTTCTAGTCAGTTCGCCAAGTAGACATCTTACAGTATTCTTGGCATAGGCTTAGGGTAAGAGCTTCTAGAGCAGTGGTTCTCAACCTTCCTAATGCTGTGACCCTTTAATACAGTTCCTCATGTGGTGGTGACCCCCCCAACCATAAAATTATTTTCGTTGCTACTTCGTCACTGTGACCCCTGTGAAAGGGTCATTTAACCCCCAAAGGGGTTGAGACCACAGGTTGAGAACTGCTGTTCTAGAGCTTCATTAGCTTTTGGAAATATTTCAGTTGTTACTGTAGCAATTCCTGCATCCTTGTTTGTGGATGCTTTCCATGTAGCTTGAACTTCTTCCTTCAGCACTGCTGCTTCTTGGTCAAAGGCTACCTCCTGAAATAGTGGAATGTCAACAAGTTCTTTTTGGTATTGTGACTGTATTCTTCCCATCTTCTGGTGTTTCCTGCATCACTCCATGTTTTGTCGAGAATACTTTAATACTGCAACTCAGAGCCGGAATTTTTTTCTTGAGTTAATTCGGTTTAAGATAATGCTGAGCATGTTCTTATTGTTTGGTTTTCTAACGCTAGATCTTTGCAGTGTTATTATAATATTTTAATTTCTTTTCTCGAGCTGAGCTGCTCTTTCAAAATTTCTGCTCAGCTCGAAGCCATCATTTCTTTCCTTTGCTTTAGTCTCTTCTGACAGCCACTTTTCTTTGTCTTTGTAATGACCTGCTTTCTTCATGAATAATGCTCTTGATGTCTTCCCACAGCTCATCAGGACTGCGCCAACTGGGTGGGATACACTCAAGATCACATTTTGGCTTTCGTGCCTTGTTTAATTTTCTCCAGCTTTAACCTGAAATCACGTATGAACAAATGATGGTCTGATGCAGTCAGCCCCTGGCCTGGTTTCAGCTGCTGATACTGACGTGCTTGACCATCTTTTCTCACAGATGTAGTCGATTTGATTTCAGTGTAGTCCACCTGGAGAAGTCCATGTGCACAATCACCTTTAGTGTTGTTGATATAAGCTATTTACTATGAAGTTGTGGGCCTTACAAAATCCCACCATATCATCTCCAGCTTTGTTTCTATCACCAAGGCTGTGTATATCAACTGCTGTTCCTTCCTTTGTTTCCAACTTTTGCATTCTAATCACCAATAATTATCAATGCATTTTGACTGCACATCTGATTAATTTCAGACTGAACTTGTTGGTAGAATTCTTCAATTTCCTCATCATTAGCTTTTATGGTTGGTGTGCAACTTTGAATAACCGTTAGATTGATTATGTTTCCCTAGAGGCAGATGGAGATACTTCTGTCACAGGCAGCACTGTACTCTAAGATTGATCTTGAAATGGCCTTTGTGACAACGAATGCAACGCTGATGTGTCACCCCCAGCACAGTAAATCATGAACTTCCAGATTCAAATGGCTAATACTAGTCCATTTCCACTCACCAGTGCCTAGATATCTTCATGCATTCCGAGGACATCTACTTCTCCTAGACGCAGACGTCACACATTCCAAGTTCAGGTCATTAGCGGGTTTCTGCAACAGTTTCTTCTTGCCTTGAGTCATGCTCCCTCAGCAAATAAGGATCCCCAGGCCCCCCACTGCTCTGTCACCACTCTGAGGAAGCAGCTCCTCCTCAGCCGGATGTCTTCCTGCGCTCTCTCGGGCGATGTTCTGCTGCCACTCATTAGGCCCGCAGGACCTGACAACGTTTCCCAGATGCCTTCTTTGTTGTCTGTTTTTACTCTGGAGTCTCTGCTAAAACCGGTTCACTTTGGGTGATCCTGCTGGCATTTGAAATACCAGCTTCTGGCATCATAACAACACACAGGTCACCACGGTGCAACAAACTGACAGAAAAGTGGTTGATGCCCCACTTTAGAATATTTAAAAATTAAGACACAAAATAGCATTTAATAGTCCACAATCAATAAATAATTTTATATATTAATGAAATAAATTTGCAAAATAAATATATTTAGTTGTAGAAATTATAAAAACTTTTGAAACGAATTCCTTCCAGTTTTACACACTTGCTGAGTTCTTTCACACAGCTGTGTCCAGAGTTATCTGGTGCGTTGTTTGGGGCCTGGCCACACTTGACAGGCAGACAGTGGGGGAAACCGGGACTTGGCCATTGCCTGGCCCCCATTCATGCTATGAGCTTTGGTGACGTGCTGGAATGGGCAGGGTTGCCTCCTCTGAGTGAAGACCCCTGTCTCCTTATATTTGCTCAGAGCATTCTCACTTCTCCAGTCTCTACTAATCTGAGCAGCAGAAATGATTATCCATTTCGGTTCTCTCTTCTTGTGACCTACTAGTCAGACTGAACGTCAGCAATGGTTTTTAAAGGCCATCATTTTCTTTACAATGCTGCGAGTGTATTGTGCTCATGTGAAGATATAAGAAATTCTTTTTTCTAATTTTGGTTGAAGACCCTGTGATTTGGGGGGCAGAGAGGTGGGAGGAGGGAGAGAAAGAAGACTCAAAGAGCATCTTTTGGGCCCGAGTCTCTGCACTGGCACTTCCTAGAACCAAAGGAAGATTAATGCCAAAAAGACACAGAGATCTGCAAGGAATACCAGGCCCACAGGTGCTGACAAGGTGCCAGCCCCTAGAAGTGACACTCTGAATTTGGAGCCATGGCCTCCCAATCTGAGGCTAAATCAATTGGTTAAAAACCAAACCAACCACAGCACAGTGCCCTGTGTTCTGTCTGGCACTTGTGAATCTCAGCCAATCACACTCGGGACATGACTACATTGCAAGAAACTTATCGAGAGAGGGCAGACAGCTACTAAAAAATATAGTGTCTGGGGTATTAAAGGCTTGAAATTACACAAGCCGCCATTCAGCAGTGAAGAAACAAGTCCAATAGAAGTACACCGCCAGTGCAATCATGAGGAGTCACAGGGACCAGGTAATAGGCATGACAGCAGACACATAACAAACAAAAACATATTGTTGAGAAAAAGGGGGATTGGAGTAGAGACCAAAGCTCATCTGTAGACAAGGGAGCAATCTTCCCACAGAGGGACCACAGCGAAGGGCTGAGTCACCAGGTGCAGTAAAGCATCAATGAAACACACTATATTCCTCTGGTTCCTTGAGGCTTCCTCACCCCCACTGCCATGATCTCAGTGCTGCTTCTCAATTCAGACTAGACTGGAACATATACACAGGTATAGATAAAGAGACTGGAGCTCATGACACACAGACTCCAAGAACATGAGTGGGAACAGTGATACCAGAGGGTAGGGGGAAGAGTGGGGAGGAAGGAAGAAAGGGGGAACCGATCGCAATGATCGACACATAACCATACCCCCCTCTACAGGGGTAAGACCAACAGAAAACGGGAGAAGGGAGGCTGCGGTCGGTGTGAGAGATTAAAATAATAACAATGTACAATCTATCGAGGGGTTATGGGGGAGGTATCAGCTGATACCAAGGGCTCAATAGAAAGTAAAGGTCTAGAAAAGAATGAAGGCAACATAATTGCAAACATGACTGATTCAATCGATGTATGGATTGTGATGAGTTGTACGAGCCCCAATAAAATGATTTACGAGAAAAAAGAGAGCGGGCAGACACAGGGTGGCTTTCTCCTGTGAGTGAGTGCAGCCCTATGGGAATGGAAATGGTGCAGTAGTTTAACCTTTGCTCCCACAGAAGCCACCACTACTCCACCCCGCCCTCCCCGCCAACACATACACAGTATGGCCATCCAACTAGCACAGAGGAGGGAGGGGGACGCTCACTGACACAGTGGAGCGCAGCCTGGGGGGGGTGCAGGCGCAGCAATGGGGCCACCCTACCTGGCAGGCCTGGGGAGGGCACTGAGGAGTTGGGTGACTGCACGGTCCGACTGGAAGGGGGTCGGGGTGGGCCAGGGTCTATGCTGTGGTCCTTCCTCGCAATATTGTCAAGCATGATGGTGCTCGAACAGTCAATCTGATGAGAAAACAAAGTATTTCAGGGCATCTCATTGTGCAAATGAAAAGCTCCTTTAAACTTATGGAAAAACTGAATTATCACCAACTCCTAAGGTAAGTACATGAGACGTTTGAGATTTCCTGGTGCTTAATTCTCCCTTAACCACCCCAGAGAGATGCTCTCATTCCACCAGGGTCCGAGGACACCCTGCTCAGTCAGGGGCTGGAGGCAGGACGGCTGCCTGTCCAATGAGCCGCTGAGTTCGCAGGGCCCGTCTCAAGCAGTGCCTGGAAGTGGCGAAAGAGGACGGCATCCTTTACAGGAACGAAACCTTTGTTTGCACTTTAAATGATGTTTCTTACCTAAACCCCAATAAAACAAAATGAAGTGGTAGAACACGTGGTTCTGGAACACATGCTTTCAGTGCCTCCCCAAGTTCAGGGCAGTGGTTCTCATAAAAAGGTAAACTCTACAAATTAAAAAATAATGATTGATTTGCTTGAAAATAACCAAAAAAGCAGACACGCCTAAAGCAAAAAGCCTAGTTGTTTTATACTTTATACCCACAGAACACCTGGCTCAGCAGCAGCCACAAGGACCTGCGCGTCTCAACAGCTTGCCCAGGCTATTTGCCATGAACCTGAGGAGATGCAGGCCTCACCAGGGAGGACTGAGGGACCCCACCCAACCCCCAGGCCTGTGGGAACCGAGGCTGTGGGTAGGTGCAAGAGCGATGTAGTAAATCCTGTCCCCACGACTCCTTCCCCCAACCAACCAACCAACCAACCAACCAGAACACTCCCCTCACTACATACTGTTGTTTGGTAAGAACAAAAATGGACTTCTGCAGATTCTTCCTTCCCAAGATACTGTAGCTTTCCATGGTGCTGATCCATCTCTAATGAATGTAAGGCTTTAGAGCAGCGGTTCTCAACCTGTGGGTCGTGATCCCTTTGGGGGTGGAACGACCCTTTCATAGGGGTTGGCCGATTCATAACAGTAGCAAAATTACAGTTATGAAGTAGCAACGAAAATAATTTTATGGTTGGGGGATATGGTTCCTCCACAACACGAGGAACTGTATCAAAGGGTCTCGGCATTAAGAAGGTTGAGAACCACTGCATTAGAGGGAAGTATCTTTTCATGCCTTAAATACACCAAGCGGTCCAGAATGTCACAGGCAGGATTCAAATACAGCCCAACTCCTTCTGGCCATGGCCAGGCCTGTCTCAGCAGGGATCCCAAAGTGTGTGTGCAATGTGCTACGGCTTGCCCCCTCCCTGCGCCAGGTGGTGCAGTTGTTGAAGTGCTCATTGGAAGCTCTCATTCTAACCCCTGCCTTGATTCTACAGTTCAGGGAGGGACTGAAGCCGAGAAGGGCAGGAGAAGCCAGCTCACGGTGGTCCCTCCTCTTCTGTGTGTTAGTCCCAGGTTAATTTCCATCCTTGTATTTTGTTGGGCTCAGCTCATCATCACGTGCACTCTTCCAGAGAGCATGTGTACTCTGGAATGCCTGCATTTGTGTGCATGTGTGGTCAATCGCAAAGCTGAACTAAAGGAATGGAACTAGGCCACTTTCGTGGGTGCCACTGAGGGCCAGTAAGGCGTGTGCATGCTACCAGGTCTCAGCATAGAAACTGAATGCCGAGAAGAAAGCTAATACTGAATCTACAAAGAAATATGAGTTGCTATCTGTAACTTGAAGAAATAGTGCCTTTTAGAAGAAAGCAAAGCACTCTTGGACATTTTTATAGGTCATAGGTCAGATCTTCCACAAAAAAGGCAAATGATTTGGTTGTTACATTAACCTCGTAGAATGAGAGAAGGTAAAGCAAGTGTTAATTGTGCATGCCGATCTGTCCACAGACAGATTTTCCTGCCTGCGGGAGAGCTCTTCTATACAAAGTCGGACTGACATGGCTCAGGTATGGAGAGGGAACACAATTTAGTCAGATAGTCATGTGCAGGTCAGCATGCCCCAGAAGAAAATCGTTTTCATTTGCTTGCCTCGCTCTCTTTGGATGTCATTATCTCAAGGGTCCTTTCGGGCCCATTCCAGCCTCAAGGTGTCCCATAGCCTTGCCTGCCCCTTCCTCAGCTCGCCCCCCACCCCCCACGCCGTCCACTACCAGGCTCAGTGAGCCTCCAATTCCTGAGCAGAGAGTGCAGGGGCTCGTTGACGCCCGTACTTTGGATGCTGTCAGTGAAATAGGTGCACTTACATCTGGCAGAGAAGGCAGGTTATAAGGCCCTCCCACTGGCGCACTCAGATCAATCACAGGGGAGCTGAACACCTTGCCATCGTACCCTGCTGCGCTGGTGATGGTGGGGCTGGAGGGGGTGGAGGACGTGCTGTTGGCAGTTGACGGGGCAGCTTGCCCACTGCTGATCTGCCACTAGGGTAGCAAGAAAGGAAGAACAGTGTCAGTGAGCAGAACAGGAGGGTGCTCTCTGGGATGGTGCGAGGCAGCGGTGACCTTTGTGAGACAAATGCAACACCTTGGAACTGGTTATCTGAGGACATCAAGGCCATCACCACGAGAGGGCTGGAAAAGGTGGTAGAAAATAGCACCCAGGTGCCTTCTGAAGCCTCTTGGACGAGACCCCATCAGGTTGCAGGTGAAAGCGCGACCCAGCTTGCTCCTGAGACACTTCCTTGAAACCCACTTCAGACACAGCCCAATCCCTAGGACTCGCTGATGACCGATGACACTTCGCCAGCTCAGTGGTCGCTCACAAGTGGGGCATAGAACCAGTGAGTGGGCCCCAAGGAGAGGAGGGGACACATACCTGCTTTATGGCTTGCTGAGCCAGGTAAGCCATCTGAAGGGGGTTTGGCTTTATTGCTGGCCGAGGGAGACTCTGGCTCGGAGGGTATCTCAGTTGTTGAGGATGGGGAGGAAGGACTGGTCCATTGGGTTTGGGGCTGTGATTCTGAAAATTGATCAAGCGTGGAGGGGGTTGCTGGGGAAAAAAAAGACCAAACCCATTTACTGATTAACTGTTGTTATTTCTTGACAGACAGGTGATCGAGAAGTCTATCTTATAAAACACACACAGGGAGAGATCAGCTCTGCTCCCAATGCACCATTCTTTACATCTCAACAACATAAAGGGGGGTGGGGCAGCGATAACACACCCCACACGTTTTGAAAATGTGTTTAAGAGCTTGGGAAAGCAGGTCCTGATGACAGGGCAGGACGCTGTCCCAGGCTCAGAAGGGAGCTCTAATGGTGCAGTAGCTTAAGTTGATTAAGCTTCGCTGGCAGTTTGAACCATGGGGAAAGGCCTGCCTGCCTACCTGCCTGCCAGCCTCCTCAGGGAGGGTTGCCTAGAAAAAACCCTAGCATTTCTATTCAACCTTGGGGGTCACCTAGCTGCACCCCCAGGGCAGGCCCTGGGCCACCTTTGGGAAGCAAGTGAAACTGGTCTCTGGGACCCTTGGAGTCCTTAATGCCAGCTCTCTCCCGGCCAACATGATGGAAGCTGGCACTCGGGATGGTCACCAGATGCCAGGAAGGCCAGCACACGAGCGTCCCTCCAGGGCAGAGATGGGCTCACTAACTTGACCAAGGTGGGACCTGAAAGAGCTGGATTCTGAACAGCACTGTGAACCAGCAACTCATTCATCAGAAAGTTGGTTGATAAAGGTAATATTAAAGATTGAATGAGTTTTTGGTCTTCCCACGGTCCAACTAGATCCCCACATGAGAATTTTACTTGTATTATCTCATGGAGCCCTAGGAAGTGAGCATTGTTATCCTCACTTACTATGAGGACACTGAAGAGAGATTGACAATTTGAAAGAAGGCACACAGCTGGTAAAGGCCCCACATCAGGCCATCAATCCCTACCTACAGTGAGTGCCAAGTCATTACCACAGGTGGCTCTGGCAAGTCATGCTGGCTGCTGATTACAGCTTAGAGGATGAGTCTCCCCAAAGGAAGTAAGATTCTGAAAGGAACAATCCCACCTCCACCCCTCGACAATGCTGATAAAGGAGAGCAGAGCTGATTATTGGCTCAGAGGGCCAGGCAGCTGAGTCTACATTGTCTGCCCATAGATGTCAGCCCTGAACACACACCCTTCCCACCCATTTCTTTTAATTTATTGCAAAAGAGACCTTCCATTTTGATATAAGGAGGGCACTTCCAATTGTTCATGGGGAAATGGAATTAAAACATAAAAACTTTATTACTAATCATAAGCTCCACGAAGGTCATGATCTTTCTGTAGCAAACACAGTCCATCCCTAAAGACGGAGGGTCCTGGGCATTCGACCATGTTCAGAAGTCAAATCAGGGCTGCAAGAGGGTCTCACAATGCTGCATGCACACTCTCCAGATGGCCCTTGTGTGATGAGAGCAAGAGCACCGTCTGTTTGCGGGGAGCAAGATTCTCTGGGGGAGCTTTCCCGGATGTTTTCTTGCTAGGCGAGCTTTCGCAAAACATTCTCATAGTAAACTGATGTTATTGTACTTGAACCCTCATAGGAAATAAACAAGCAAATGCCTCGAGCATCTCCAAACATGTGGCCGCGACCTCTGGTTTTGCTTTGACTGGTGCTGGTCACACCATGTTTCACCTCCTGCTATCATTCTTCCAAGACACTTCAGGATCTGGAGCCCCTTGTTTAAAATTTCCATCCAAAGCCCAGCTTTTGTCTGCACTGTATCTGGATGCAACGGTTCCTTTGGCACACATCCAGCAGAACTTCAGCCCACCTTGTAATTTTTCAGTCAGAATTGGGTCAGCAGAATCCATTGAGACGTCTATGGTACTGGCTATTCTTTCTGTTGCTAATCACTGGTCCTCTTCAATTAAGGCTTGGGCAAGATTATATCTCTCCTCAAACTGATGTGCATGCTTCTATTGTGGGCTTCATCTGCAATATTGCCTCATCCATTTAAAAATGATGTTTCCATTTAAAAAATGTTACCCATAAGCTTTTCAAAAAGCATCGATGATTTTACCCAAGTGTCACTGTGATTTGTTGCTTCGCTTTTGGAAGAATTCATGTAGCTCTTATCCTTTTTGGTGCCTCAAAGGAGAGCCTGTTCAGACATGTTGCAACAAGGTAAAGCCAACTGCCATGGAGTCGCTTCTGACTTACAGTGACCCTGTAGACGAGTGTTTCCCAAACTGGTGGTATCGCCCGAGTCAATGGAATGATTCAGGGAGTGCTGCAAAAGTAGATGTCAACACTTTTGCCCGTCGTACAAAAGATTTTAATCGCTGGCGGGGGAGGTTGGGGGTCAGGTAATCCTCCTCGAAAAAGAGGGTGATAGGCCAAATAAGTCTGGGAACTCATGGTATAGATCCTAAGAGAAGACAATCTCTCCCGTGTCTCCCACAGGGCAACTGACGGGCTTGAACTGGAGACCTTGCGGTTGGGAGCCCAACAGTTAGTCGACAGCACCACGAGGGCTATATGTGATCAGAACGTCTCCAAGAGGCAGTCATCATCTTCAAAATGAGGAATCTTTTAAGCTGGGCCCAACCCCCTAACCTTGGAAGGAGTGTAGGCAGATGGCCAAATGGTAGGCCCTGTCTTTCTCCTTTCTTTCCTTGCCCCTTCCTGTCCTGCACCAGACGGTTCTTTTTCTCCCTTATAAATTAGTTGGCACCAGGTTCACTCTCAGTTGAGTGGGAGAGATTACAGTCCAATGAGAAGTAGGTGTAGGTACTGTTTCTAAATCAATGAATGTTGGTGAGTGAAGTAGGTAAAAACAGTGTTCGAGAAAACCCTAACCCTGCAAAGAAGTACAGCCTGAAAATCGCAGCCAATTGTTTAGATTCATCTTGAGAACCTTTACAACGTGAAAGATATATAATAGAGATAATAGAAACCCTTGAAAAATCCACATGGGAAAAAACAAAACAATGGTGGTGAATTTCTCTCAGGGACAGAATGCATAAAGTGGACAGGTGCACACAGTGTCTTGCAGAAGAACGTGCAAGCAGTCACCAAGTCTCTTCTATTCTCTCCTCCCTCTTCCCAGGGTCCAGAGGGATGAGATGGCGAACTAGTCCCCAGCCTTAAAGAAACTATGAAACGGTATCAATTACTTTAAGATACACAAGGACAAGAGGAGGAGGAAAAATGACGGGGAGGCGAAGGGACCTGCAGTGACACCCTCGCCAGTATTCTGGGCCCTCCTCTAGGACAATAGGTTTGGTTCTAGGTCAGAGGTTCTCAACTGTTATGTAATACAGGGCATCCATCCTGTTTAGGGACATCCCTGCGCCTGTATGGACACAGTGGGCTCCACCTACGGCTGCCTATGTGTGGTACTCTGTATCACAGGGTGCACTGTCTCCTGCTAAATAAGCATAGATGAATGTCACGGGACTAGGTGTTCTGCACAGTCCTTCCAAGGGGGCAGGAAGACGGATCACAGATGATTTCTACTGTACACGTTTCCTGGGAACAGGCATAGATGTACATACCCCCACGCTCAACAAATAGGTTTTTCTCCAGATGTATGTGAATGTAAACTGATGAGGAACAACGTATCTAGGTGGGGAGGACAGGTAGGAGTTTGTTTTTGTTGTTACTGTTAGGTACAGGTGTGTAAGAGATGGAAACACTGTCCTCTCCTGCGCCGTCCTCATCCCAGCCATCTCCTGATAGTCTCCTCTGTTTTGCTGCTCCTGTACCTGACCAAGTGTGGTGGTTAGCATGGTTTTATGTCAACTTGAAGGTCTATGAAAGTACATGGGTGTAATTTAAGTCGTCAATTAGGTCACAACTGATGATGCCTCCATGGGGGTGTGATTTTCTTACAAACAAGAAGGCCCTGGGAAACACCCCTCTTGCTGCCCCCGTCTTCCTGCTTGCTGGGCCTCTGCACTGACCCCGAGAGCTGCCGGTGCCTGGTCATGTTTCCGCTGACCTTGCAGCCACAGGGCTCCACACCCACCGACCGGTCTTCCTGCATTTGGTGTCCCTGCATGTGGCTACGTGAATCTGAAGAGGGAGTTATGTTCTTGTATCGGACTTATGAACTTGAGTTGGACTGGGCTGGGATGCCTTCTTGATATGCCATTCGTTACTTTTTTATATAAAGCTCTTTTTTACAGAGATATCTCTGGACTTGTTTCTCTAGTCAAACTGGCCTAACACACCTACTGTGATGTCCTTCTCCAGGGATTGGTCTCTGCAAACATGCCTCAAGTACATGAGATGACGTTTCACCAGGCGTGCTTCGAAGGCGCATTCTGGCTGTACTTTTTCCAGGATGTATTTGTTCTTTGGGCATCCATGGTACTTTCAATACTCTTTGCCAGCACAAGTCCAACGCATGGATTCTTCTTCAGTCTTACTTATTCAACGTCCAACTTTCACATGCATTATGAGGCAACTGAAAATATCCTGGCTTGGATCAGGTACACCTTAGTCCTCTAGGTAACATCCTTGCTTTTCAACACTTTAAACTTTCTTATGTAGCAGATTTACCCAATGCAACACATCCTTTAATCTTTGACTACTGCTTTTATGAGCACTGATTGTAGAACCCTGTAAGACAAAACCCTTGTCAACTTCGATACTTTCTCCAGTAACTATGATGTTACCTATTCGTCACGTTGTGAGGGTTTTGGCTTTCTTGTAAATGAGCTATAATCCATGTTGAAGGCTGCAATCATCAGCGAGTGCTTCAAGTCCCCCAGGCTTTCATCAAGCAACACTGTGTCAACTGCACACTGGAAGATAGTAAGCCTTCCTCTAAGCCTGATGCCTCATTGTTCCTCATACAGTCCAGTTTCTAGGATCACTTGCTCAATACACAGGTTGAATAAGGATGGTGAGAGGATACAAGCCTCATAGAGGGGGCACGTCTAAATGTTTGGCTGCCAACTTAGGGGCTGGTGAGTTAGAACCCCAGGCAGCTGGGGAAAAATGATCCGGCTCTCTGCGAGAGCGCACCATAGGGCAGCTCTTCTCAGTTACACGGGTTACTGTGAGCTGAAATCTTCTCAGTGGCATGCAGCAGAAACAGCAAGCCGACACCTAATCTGAGGTGACAGTGCTAACTGCTTTAACAAAAGTGTATGAACCTTTCCCACTTCATATTTAGAAAAGGGCTTGATGGTCCAGGGATGCAGACTATGGCTAACAGCCTGACGGGTCTGCCGCCCAAGCTCCCAATGCAGCATGCTCACTACAACGTGCGCCCACATGGGGATGTAGACTAGCCCCAGCCATAAAGAAGCAGTCAAACAGGACTGTGAGGTACAGGGACACAGGGCACAGATGATCCAGCCAATGACAGGCCCTCACTATCAAGGAACACACCCTGGCTATGGTGTGAGAGCACTGAAACCAGCCGGCTATAGAGGCAGCAGGGAGTGAAGCCTTGTAGAGGGGGTTAGGACGGGGGTCCAAGCAAGGCCCCATATGTCAACCAACTACTGACGGCGGCTGCAGGGTATGGCAGGAGCTGCTGAACACAATTGTACTGTAATTATCTAAGTTAGGACGGGCCTGCTTCCCAATTTACCTGATGAGAGATGGAGGGTTGCTGGATGGGCCCCTGCATTCTGGGGCTTGGTAAACCCACAGGTGCTGGCCTCCGGTGCACCTGTTGCCTCTGAGCCATTACCTGTTGCTGCATGTGCTGGAGCCGTAACTGAGCTAGGCTGATCTGTGTTGGGAACTTGGATAACTGGTTTGAAGAGAAGCCACCTGGTGGCTGTGGGCTTGGCTCCACGGCAGGGCTCTGCTTAGGCATTTGTGGCTGGCTCTCCTTATCCTCGATTACTAAAGTACCTGGTCAGAGAGAAAAGGTCAGGGTCAGGTCCTCCCGACAGTGTGACAGTTAGTGAAAGATCACATTTTGTATGGTTAGTTTCAGCTGAACTGGAGATTTGCTGGGGACCTGAGGTCCCTGAATCCCCTCTTACAAGCTTCAGCTGTCATGCGGTGCTGCTCAGGTGGGCCTGAGGATGATCAAGGCCAGGCACACGGTGCTGTGGTCCCTGAGAGGACCTCAGACTGGCCCAAGGACTTTGAGTGGACATTGTAGCTGCATCTGAAAACCCCTGCCAGAGCAGCTTCTGATTCTTCAGGATCCCCAACGCAGCAGGCTCTCCCACTCCTCCACCCACACTGGCTGGGCTCACAGGTGGCCACACCAACCGGCAGGCTGGATCCCAGCGAAAGGCACTGCCTGTCTGAGTCAGCAGTAAGACTCCAGGGGCTGCCTAAGCACATGCATTCTGAACTGAAGACCTACTGAGTGGTGGGCACTTCTCCCACAGAGAAGGTGCCTCCCTCCACCCCTCAAAGTTCATTCAACTTAATGTCAACCAGAGTTGCCTGGACAACTGAGCAAAGATCTGCCTTGGCTCCTCTCTCTGACACTTCCAGGTGCCATGGACAGACGCCTGGGGCAGAGGCTCTTCGTTAACTCTTTACCACAGCTTCCCTGAAGATGACCAGCATGGGGAAACGGCTCGTTTTGTGGTCTTCTGCCTGGCTTCCCTGGGAAACCAACTTCAGAGACATCCCCTCTAAACCCTGGGGAGCCACCCTAGTGCTTGTTTGCCCAGGCTGACTGGCATTTCCTGGGTGAGCTACCAACAGTCTGATCTGGTGCTTTCTGTCTGGCCAGGTGGCTGGGACTGTCAATATACTACCCAATGAGTGACTCTAGACAATGCAAATAAAGTTACTATCGCCTACTCAAATACCTGTCATCTACCCAAAGGGGACTGCTCAGTTCCTAGCCCTAATGGGAGGGGCTATACCGTGCACCTGAGGAGGAAGGAGCTGTGTGTAGGCAGCCAGCTACACAGGAAAGCAAGGACTTAGTACAAGGGGAGGGGAGCAGTGAGAAAGGAAGCAGCACGGGCAAGGTGACAACATGAAGGCTGTTAGGGGCCGGAGGGAGCCCTGTAGCAGAGGCAGTGGTGACAGGAGGGCCACAAGGCCATCTGTCCTGAGGGGATACAGAGAAGCTGAGCAAGCTGCCCTGCCCCCATGTTTCCTGCTCCTGAGTTCTGGGAGGCCACAGCAGTGGATCAGGGAAGCCTATGGAGAATGCCCTGTCTGTCGGAGTCCAACCTTCTGGGACTCAGCTCTGTGCTGATGGCCTGCCCACTGCCGCCAGAGTTAGACATGTTCTGATGCTACATGTCCACCTACTTCACCTAGGTAGACATAGGCAGCCCACACATGCCAGGAGAATGGCCAACACCTGCATTCTGAAGCAAAGGAAGTGCATCCTCTCAAGGAGACCCTGGTTGGTGATGAGCAGACAAGGTACAAACAGAGGAAGCCTTAAGCCGTTCCTGGTGCGGCCATCCCGACTCACAGCAACCCTGTGCTATGGGGCAGAGCAGAGCTGCTCTACAGCATCTCTACAGATGCCAGGCAGTACAGAAATAGACCGTCACATCGGCCCCTCAGCATGGTTGGCGGGTTCACAACACCAAGCTTTTGGTTAGCAGCCAATTGTGCAATCACGATGCCCAGAGCCAGGATACGGCCAAGTGGTC